AGTCAATGGCTTAAGTATAAACTGGCAATGCATGAATTGTAAACCGCTGACATGAGGCAGAGGTAGGGGAAAACAGAGCATTAGGGAAAAACAAATCATTAAAGCAGGGTGAATGTAGTGGTTAAGAACAGTGCTCAGCTGCAATAAAAAGAGTTCTCTTAGCTCTGACTCTTCACACGATGCTGTTTATGTGCTAGAGCAGATAGTCCATTCTTTCACCCGGTAGCAAATCCGACCGGAGCGGAGTGCAGCCTGGAATCCTATGCCTCCGTTGCTTGCCTAGGGTCTCCCAGAGTTCTTTCTGCTGGTGAGGTTGGTCAGGTTCCTGCACACGAACACCAGTTGGAGGGGCTTGTGTGTTGGCAGGGTCCGAGTCTGTCGTGGTGCTGGAGCGTGCAGGCTGCTGGACCCGGTTGCTGCCAGGTGGAGTGGGTGAGTACGTCTAGGTGTGCGTTTAGTTGCAGCATGGCGCTGTGGAGGTGGGGAGCCCCTCCACCTCTGAGGTTGCTGGTGAGCCGATGCTCCATTTCTGCGTGCGTGAGTCCCAGTGTGGTCTCTGGCCTTTCCGGGGATGGTGGCGCAGTGGGCGCCATGTGTTGCCCGCTTGGTGCTCTGTTTGCTCTCCATATTCTGTGGCTGGCGCTTGCGGGTTGGCTTGTGGCCATGTCTGCCGTTCATTTTTAATCAGTTTTTTCTTTGTGTCAATGCCACCAGCAGCCATCTTGTGTTCTACAGAGATCACTCTTCCTCCTGATTCTTGACAGCCAAGCAGCGGCAAAGTACAGTATGGCTCCCTCAAATGGTTTAACCCCTTAAGGACCAACTTCTGGAATAAAAGGGAATCATGACATGTTACACATGTCGTGTGTCCTTAAGGGGTTAAACAGATGTGTACAGATTAGGTCATGTTGATTTTCAATTCACTACTATTTGCGACTAGAGTAATTATTGGCCAGCTTCAAATACCCATGTTGAAACATTCTCAAACACATTGTTTTAACCAACGTTCCACTAACAGTTGGTTGAAACTTGTAGTTTATGCTAGCTTTAGTGTACCTATAATGTTAATTTTATTAATGACAGGAGGCTTTGTATTTGCTTAAGTCTCTCTTTACTAGAACTCCACAGCAGCACAGAAAACAACCAATCAGAAAAAGTTAGGTACTATAAAACTCCCTTCCCATTGCATCATTTCCTCTTTCAAGCTGCGACAAAACAGAACAAAGGCAGAAAAAATAATGGGAAGAAACGAAGTCCTAGATACAATGAATACAGCAATGTCCAACATCCGAGAAGAACTGTCAAACCAGATAGCGTTGATGGACTGCTAAATAAATAAGTCAATGTCCACCATCCGTGAAGAAGTGCCACACCAGATAGCGTTGAAGGACTGGAAACTAAAACGAGAGAAAAACAGAATCGAACAGGTTGATTATCCAATGAAATGTACTCTGAATAAACCTGTAGATACCCAATGTAGCAACCAAAATTACCTTAATATGTAGATATCCCAACCCTACTTATGAAAAACAGACATAAGGATAGGTGATAGGTAGCAGAGACAACAAGCAGAGTTGTATACGTACCTGATTAATCCAACTATTAAAATTAAACAAGGGAGGGATAAGAATGGGTGGGAAATACTCGCCTACTGTTATTAATAAAATTAAGATTATAGGTACACTAAAGCTAGTATAATCTACAATTTTATAACCTGACAGGAGGCTTCGTATTTGCTGTTTTAACGCTCAGTCAACAAATCCAATGCTGTTTGTTTCACTGGTACCTATTGCAGGAGATATCCGAGCAATCCTAAATGGACTTTCCAACTGTGATAAGTGCCAGTAGAAGGGTCGATGAGGATGCCAGCTGACAAAGCCTCCCAAATATGGAAAAAACATAATCCGTTGCTAGCTCCATTGTACGTGGAGTTGTGACCTGTTTCCTAGCAGCCGGTTCATGAACTGCCAAGCTGACCCATTAGCCATTTTCCTGTAGTTGTAAAATGTCAAAGGTCATTTACGGACTTAGGGCCGTGAGACGAAACTGCCACCATGTCTCAACTCTTGATGTGTAAGGTGGTTCCTCCGATCATGCCAGGGTCACCTGGCGATGTGGCCTTGCAGGTAGATCTCCAATTTCAAGGAATGCGCCCAAGTCCACCACCAATTCCGTAATAGAACCAAGCAGGATCTTTCGTCCTCTCATGGTCTACCCGGTGAGATGTCTCATCCGAGAATAAATTTATTATGCAGGCAAGAGTGTGGTCAACTAGCGGTATCCTAAGTGATTCCAATATTCCAAATGGACTGTGTAATCCTCGGCTGCGGTAGCGAAAGGACACCAAAAGGATGTCCAATCAGGGTCCCAAACTGAACTTGTGTGGTGGAACGGTGGTCGACTATTCTGGGGATAGTGCTGGAGCGTGCAGGAACCCCTACACAAATCTTGACAGGTCAAGGGATCCAGGAATGTGAGTTTGTTAACCAAAGTCAATGTAAAACAAGGGTCTAGCTTCAACCATCCGAATCATGTGATGTCCCGTTTGAGAGTGTCGGCAGCCCTATCTGAGTCTGCTACACCCTGAGCAGTACTTCAGTGGTAGGTTGCGACCCGACTTTGACGTCCGTGTAGGAGTCGGGGCACACCGGGTTCCTCCATAAAGTCCCGTAGATCTCTGTGATGGTAGTTGAAAAAGTGGGTTAGCGAGAACCCAAACGGCTCCCGTGAGGGTATAAAGTACAGACGGAGGGCCCTCCATCTCCAGATATGTGCTCAGAGGAGTAGGGACAGTCCTGTCATCTTATCCAAAGATTGTAATGACCCGGGAACTAAAGTCCACCGGGGTTCCGGTCTCTCCATGCGAACGGTGTACCTGGGGACCGGCCTTCCCTAGTCTTGTCACCTGAGCAAGGCAGTGTCCTTTTGCTCCATGAAGGTCTCAGTATCTCCTGTCATCTTGATATTGGAAAAACTGTCTGTGCAGTTTGTTCGCAATGGTCCGAATATCTAAGACAGAATGAAATTGTCTGTTTTATATAGCACAGAATATACCAAACCTGCTCTCTGAGGCTCATCCGTTAGCCGTACCATCTCCAGGAGTGTGTAAATAAGCGTGAGTCTCCCCTTGTTATACCTCTGAGTATTTCTTGCATGGGGTACAGTGGTGCGGATCCAGTAGATCCATTACAGAAGGTGAAATAGAGTGATCCAGTCTAAATATGTATCCTGCATGCTCAGGCAGCCCTTTCTAACGACTTTGGTAGCACGGTCGTTAGATCTAATTTAATGCAGGAGGGATGCCACTCTATGCAGTCATTGTTGTCCTGTATAGGTACAAGCCTGTCTGATTAACAAATGGACGGCACCATAGTGCATTGAGTGTATGAGAGAGCTGTGCTCTCTAATCATGTGACCGAACTCTGTGTCAGCATCCGTGACCTGTTCTCTCTACGAGAATGTGTCACTCAAAACATTAGCTCTGTATGCAGCTCAGTAACGGGCTGAGGTTGAGGGAGGGCCGTGCCCTCTAATGACAATACAGTATCCGGTTCTGTATATGAGAGGGGTTCGCTCTCTGTTCGTGAAAATAAAAAATCATTCTCGGATCAAGGTGATGGAGGGCCGGACCCTCTTGTAATTCAGACTAGAGTCCCTTAGAGACTCAGGGTGACCCACTGCAGGGGTGTGCCATTCACTAATATCAGCATAAGACTGAGATCTTGAGGTGGGTCTCTCACTGACCATGAGACCTCTCTCTGAATCGCTCACCTGAGGTGAAATCAACTGGCAATAAACCGGACCGATGGAAGATGGAATAGTATACAGCCGTCCATCCTTAATAACAGAAAGGGATAGTGAGAAAATGTAACCTTCGGAAACAATGATGGAAACTACAAACTGACCGCCCGGATCCCGTGCGCGCGCGGGGTCCAGGATGACCATTGGTATCCTGAGGAAAGCTGGAGACATTCTCCGCAATCCACGAGAGCCCAGGAGGTCAGAGGAGGTCAAGTCAGGCCTCTCGACGACCTGAGCGATAGGACAGTTGGAAGGCTTGAAAACCAAGAAACGACAAATAATGTAGATAACGGTAAATACGTACCTCGGAGGGCAAGTAAATAGCAGATCGGAACATCAAGTCAGGTAAACCCAACAGAAAAGGTCAGGAGCTAAACATAACATAGGATTAAATACCAATACCCAAGATGGATACCGGGACGGTAGCTAAATGGCTAGTTGCTGAGGGCAAGGCAACCGTGCTCCCCTGTTGGGGTCTGAACACCGGTCCCTGTTTGTGTGAAATTCTCTTTGGAGATGTGCCACCGCCGGGTAGGTGTAAACCGTGGTTGCGCGCCCGGGAATCCTCAAAAAAAACTTGCCCCTCAGGGTATGAGGTTTAGAGTCTTCATCCTTCCAATCATATTGAGGTGCCCGTATACTGGTGTCCTCTTAGATTGTAAGGCAGCAGTGCTTGCCTGGACACCCACCTATTACCATGTCAATAGTGGGTACTGGGCTTTTCTCAGTGATATTCTCCCAGGCCTGTGGCCAAAAGGGATTTCAGGCCCAGATAGCTCAGGCCAAACAAAGGGCACAGACAGAGCAGGTCAGTCCGAAAGGCACAGACATAGCAGGCCAATCACATGGGCACAGACATAGCAGGCCAATCTATGGGGCACAGACATAGCAGGCCAAACAATGGGGCACAAACATAGCAGGCCAGTCAGTGAGGCACAGAGATAGCAGGCCAATCAATGGGGCACAGACATAGCAGGCCAATCCATGGGGTATAGACGTAGCGGGCTGCATGTAGATGAGTAATGGGGACCTCTGTGTTTGGTAGAGACCCCTAAATATTTGTAAATCTACAGGGTACCCTGTGGCCCAGGACCCTTAGACACCAACCCCTTTTAGACAGTGTAATACTGTGCAATTAACATAAACTGGGACTAGCAGTCCTTCAATGCCCAGCAGGAAAAATAGTGGTATTCCAGCTGTAATGTATAGGCTGAAAAGTTTCCAGTGATATAGTGCCAATTAACTCATGACATGCCTGGACCTACAGATCTGTATGGGGTTTCCTCATTGATCTATGTACTGTCAGTAAACCACCTGAAGGGTACTGAACCAATGGTATCTTACAGTAAGGGGGTTAAACAATAGTCCACTCAATGCCCCTCATTGAGCTTGGAAGCGACCACCTTCCAACTCTACTAGTCATAGAAACCTAATAAATTGTACTAATGGCAGTAGAGACTGGCCTCCTTACCAGTTTGAGCCGGAGCAAGGGCTGTATAGATTTTATATCTGCCATACACAGTGAAACCTCACATTAAAGAGGATTCATCTGTTATGCTACTTGGGTTATTTGGATTGGAACTCAACTGCAGCTTGTAGAACTCCTTAATTACAATAGTGAAGAAGTAAAGTATCAATACTGTAGCTTTAAGAAAAGAGAGGATTGCTGGCACTTTGAGAATCAAATGAAGTTTTAATAATTGTTAAACTTAACAAATTGCATTTAGGCAATAATCCAATAAGAATAAGTGGAAGTCATTAAACAATACAAAGTTCATTAATAAGTATTTCCTCAGAGAAATATCAAATAAGATTTATAGGTTGCTTGGAATCATCTTCAATAATGATATTTA